GGGAGACTTCAACACCCCACTCTCAACAAAGGACAGGTCAACAAAACAGAAATTAAACAAAGAAACAATGTCTCTAACAGAGGTCATGAATCAAATGGACCTAACAGACATTTACAGAACCTTACACCCAAACACAAAAGAATTTACCTTCTTCTCAGCACCTCATGGAACCTTCTCCAAAATAGACCATATAGTTGGTCACAAAGCGAGCCTCAGCAGATGTAAGAAGATTGAAACAATCTCTTGTATCCTGTCTGATCACCATGGAATAAAGCTGGACCTCAACAACAACAGAAATGGCAAAAAGGCTACACATACATGGAAACTGAACAACTCGCTGCTAAATGACAGCTGGGTCAGGGAAGAAATAAAGAAAGAAATTAAAGTCTTCCTAGAATTCAATGAAAATGAAGACACAACATACCCAAACTTGTGGGACACAACGAAAGCAGTGCTAAGAGGAAAGTTCATAGCACTAAGTGCCTTCAAGAAAAATTCGAGACAGCTGATTCAAGCAACTTAATGGCTCACTTAAAAACCCTAGAAAAAAAAGAAGCAAACACACCAAAAAGGAGTAGAGATCGCTGGAAATAATCAAACTCAGGGCTAAAATCAATCAATTAGAAACAAATAAAACAATTAAAATAATCAATGAACCAAGAGCTGGTTCTTTGAGAAAATCAACAAGATAGACAAACCCTTAGCCAAGCTATCTAAAAGGCAGAGAGACACCATCCAAATCAACAAAATCAAAAATGAAAAGAGGATATAACGACAGACACTGAGGAAATCCAAACAATCATTAGGACTTACTTCAAAAGTCTATATGCCACAAAATTTGAAAATCTAAATGACATGTACAATTTTCTTGATTGATTCGACTTACCAAAGCTGAATGAGGACCAGGTAAATAAATTAAATAGTCCTATATCCCCCAAGGAAATAGAAGAAGTCATCGAAAATCTCCCATCCAAAAAAAGCCCAGGACCAGATGGTTTCAGTGCAGAATTCTACCACACCTTCAAAGAAGAGCTAACTCTTGTTCTTTTCGAACTACTCCACAAAATAGAAATGGAAGGAACACTACCAAACTCATTCTATGAAGCCATAGTCACCTTAGTAACTAAACCTCACAAAGACCCAACAAAGAAAGAGAATTTCAGGCCAATCTCCCTTAGGAATATTGATGCAAAAATACTCAACAAAATACTTGCAAACTGAATACAAGAACACATCAAAGATATCATCTACTATGACCAAGTAGTTTTCATCCCAGGTATGCAGGAGTGGTTCAATATACGGAAATCCATCAATGTGATTCACTATATTAACATACTGAAAGAAAAAAACCACATGATAATCTCCCTAGATGCTGAAAAAGCATTTGACAAAGTCCAACATCCATTCATGTTTAAAGTATTGGAGAGATCAGGGATACAAGGCACATATCTAAACATAGTAAAGGTGATATACAGCAAGCCTATAGCCAAGATCAAACTGAATGGAGAGAAACTTAAAGCAATCCCACTGAAATCAGGGATAAGACAAGGCTGCCCACTCTCTCCATATCTCTTCACCATAGTTTAGATATCCTTTCTAGAGCAATAAGACAATTGAAGGAGATCAAGGGGATACAAATTGGAAAGGAAGAAGTCAAATTATCACTATTTGCAGATGATATGATAGTATACGTGAGTGACCCCACAAACTCTACCAGGGAACTCCTACAGTTGAAAAACACCTTCAGCAAAGTGGCCAGATATAAAATTAACTCAAAAAAATCATTATCCCTCCTGTATACAAAAGACAGAAGGGCTGAGAAAGAAATTAGGGAAACAACACCCTTCACAAGAGCCATAAAAACATAAAGTATCTTGGTGTAACCCTAACCAAGCAAGTCAAAGACTTGTATGAAAAAAATATCAAGTATCTGAAAAAAGAATTAGAAGAAGATATCAGAAAATAGAAAGATCTCCCATGCTCATGGCTTGGCAGGATTAACAGAGTAAAAATCGCCATCTTACCAAAAGCAATCTACAGTTTCAATGCAATTCCCATCAAATTACCAACACAATTCTTTATAGACATGGAAAGAAAAATTTTCAACTTCATATGGAATAACAAGAAACCCAGAATTGCTAAAACAATCCTCTACAATAAAAGATCTTCTGAAGGTATCTCCATCCTTGATCCTAAGGTGTACTCTGGAGCAACAGCAATAAAAACTGCAAGTTACTGGCATAGAAACAGAATGGTGGATCAATGGAACCGAACAGAAGACCCAGAAATAAACCCACACACTTATGGACACCTGATCTTTGACAAAGATGCCAAAACTGTACAATGGAAAAAAAGATAGCATCTTTAACAAATGGTGCTGGTCTACCTGGATGTCTACATGTAGAATAATACAAATAGATCCATACTTATCACCCTGCACAAAACTGAAGTCCAAGTGGATCAAAGACCTCAACATAAAACGAGACACATTAAATCTGTTAGAAGAAAAAGTGGGGAAAACCCTGGAACTCATTGGTACAGGAGACAACTTCCTGAACAGAACACCAACAGCACTAGCTCTAAGAGCAACAATCAATAAATGGGACCTCATGAACCTGAAAAGCTTCTGTAAAGCAAAGGACACAGTCATCCAAACAAAACGACTGCCTACAGATTGGGAAAGAATCTTCACCAACCCTCTATATGACAGAGGGCTAATAGCTACTATATATAAAGAACTAAAGAAGCTGAATAGCAACAAACCAAGTAATCCACTTAAAAAATGGGGAACAGATCTAAACAGAGAATTCTCTGTAGAGGAATATCGAATGGCAGAGAAACACTTAGAGAAATGTTCAACCTCATTAGCCATTAGGGAAATGCAAATCAAAACAACCCTGAGATTTCACCTTACACCTATCAGAATGGCCAAGATGAAAAACTCAAGTGACAACACATGCTGGAGAGGTTGTGGAGAAAGGGGAACCCTCCTCCACTGCTGGTGGGAATGTAAACTCGTACAGCCACTTTGGAAATCCATCTGGCACTTTCTCAGACAACTCGGAATAGCGCTTCCTCAAGACCCAGCTATACCACTCTTCAACAAATGGTGCTGGGAAAACTGCATGCCTTCATACAGAATGAATTCAGACCCATATCTATCACAATGCACAAAAAAAATTAGCTCAAGGTGGTTCAAAGACATCAATTTGAAATCATAAGTGTTAAAGCTGCTAGAAGAAAGTATAGGCAGTGCACTTGGGAGGCAGAGGCAGGTGTATCTCTGAGTTTGAGGCTAACCTGGGCTACAGAGTGAATTCCAGGACAGCCAAGGATACACAGAGAGACTGTCTTGAAAAAAAAAAAGGAGAGAAAATATTGGTGTTATTCTACAACTTATAGATTCAGGTAAGAACTTTCTGAATAGGACTCCATTTGCCCAGGGGTTAAGAGCAACAACTGACAAGTGGGCCCTCATAAATCTTAAAAGCTTCTGTATAGCTATGGAGACAATGAATCAAGTGAAGAAGATACCATAGAGTGGGTGATAACCTTTGGCACCTACCCATCTGACAAAAGATTAATATCCAGAATATATGGGAAGTTGGAAAACAGTCAAGGAAGTGACCCAATTTGAAAATGGGCTAAAGATCTGTCTTAGTTAGGGTTTTTATCACTGTAATCAAGCCTCATGACTAAAATCAACTCATACAGGAAAGGATTGATTTTATTGTATAGCCTGTAGCTCATCATTCAAGGAACTCAAGGAGGATCCTCGGTACAGAGCTGATACAGAAGGCATGGAGGAGTGTTACTCACTACACTGGATTTTTTCTCATGATTTTCTCAGATTGCTCTCTGGTAGTACCCAGGACCACCATCTCAGGGATGGTACCACCCACAACGATCCCAGAACTCCCATATCAATCATCAATCAAGAAAATTCACCACAGGTATGACTACATGCAAACTTTGTGAAGAAATTTTCTCACTTCCTTCTAAGATGACTTGATCTTGGGTCAAGTTGACAAGAAACCAAACCGAAACAAAACTAGTCAGTACAGGAGCTAAACAGAGTTCTTAATAGAACAAATAAAAATGGCTAAGAAAGAACTCAAAAACACCCTTAGCAGTTAGGGAAATGCTAAGACAACTCTGAGATTTCCTCTCACCCCAGTCAGAATAGTTAAGATCATCAAAACTGTTGACAGCAAATTCTGGTTCGGGGAAAAGAGGAACTGTCATTCACCATTAGTAGGATCTCAAAATTGTCCATCCACCCTGTAAATTGGTTTTAAAAAAATATTAAAAAAAGAACACTAAAATTACCAAATGATCCAGCTATATTACTCCTTGGAATATGTCCGAAAGACTCAACATACTAATCTATTCCACAGACACTTGCCTAGCTATGTTCATTGCTACGCTATTCAAAATAGTTAAGAAATGGAAACAACTTAATGTCCTTCAGCTGACGAATAGTTAATGAAAATGTAGTACATCTACACAATGGGATACTATTTATCTGTGAAAAAAATTAAACCATTAAACTTGCAGGTAAATGGATGGAACTAGAAAAGATTATATTGAGTGAAGTATTTGAGACACAGAAAGACAAATATTGCATATTCTCTTTCATCTGTTGTTCCTAGCTCCATATCTTCAAAACTGAGTTATAACACAGAGTAACTGCAGAAACCAGGAAAGTGTACAAGGAGAAGGGGTGGAGAGCTTTTGAAGATAATGGCAGAATACAGGTAATACGAAATGGGAAATGGGAAACCTAGGTAGTCTCCAACTGAGGAGGGTGAAAGGGTGGTCAATACAGAAGAAAAAGGAGGGAAAAAGGAAAAATCACTACACGGTTTTTTGATAAGGATTCAAGCAATCATAGTGTTTTATATTCACCTAAAATTATACACAACAAATATAAGTGTATGTGTATACACATATACAACTGAAGGCATGCTACAATGTAAGCTAGTGTTGTTACCCTTGATTGCCCTGGCAACAGGCAGAGAGACCCCTTGTTGGTGGTATTGTTCTTGTATCAGTCAGGGGCAAAGCAGATAGCAGTCCTTTTTTCATCCTAGCTTGATGCCTGGCTTAATTGCCAAAGCTCTTTTATGCCTAGGACTCACCAAATCAAATCAAATCAAATCAAATCAAATCAAATCAAATCAAATCAAATCAAATCAAATCAAATCCAGGCAGTACAGCACAGCAGGCAGAAGACAGACCTGCAGACTAGTATGCCACATAGTATGGGTGGGAGAGATGCTCACAGACCTGTCCTCTGCCCCAAGCTGAGGCTGGCCATAGACATGCAGAGCCCCGCCTATCACGACATATTGCAGCACTGGAGGAGGAAGACAGAGACCCCTGGACAGTCATGCCACCCACAGACCTGCCTTCCAGGGAGGCCCATTTGCCAGAGGATGTCACCCAGGGGCCCGCTACCCATGTGGCCAGCCTGTTGCAAAAGATACCACAGTGTGTGAGTATGTGGCGGACAGATATGTGAGAAAGAGAAGGGAAGCAGCTTGAGCATTATGAAGAGAGATGGAACCGGAGACTCAAGGGTAGAAAAGAGGAGCCTGTTATGCGCAGCCAGCCCCACCACCTGAGGCCATGATGAGATCCCAGACCAAGCTGCTGATGAGAGCCATGTTTGGATCCATTACTACACAGCAGCAGGGGTTGGTGTCCATATCTGTGGCTCAAGTTACCACTAGAATACATGGGACATCTTGTAAAAGATACTTTTATTTGCATATCTCAATTGTTGTCCGGGAGGCTTACTGTCTTGTCTGCTAATCCAGGCCTAGTTCTGGAAGCCTCTAGCCTCCATACAATCTAACCTAGGCCTAAAATATTTTCAGCTTGTGAGACTTAGTGCTTAATAACCTCATTCTTATTGTTCGTTCTGAGCTCTGGGCTGGCTGGTTCAACCCAGCTATTCTGGCTCAAACTCCTCTTCCAGCTGACTTATTTTGTTTTCTCCCTGTACAGCTTTCCTGGTAAAAGTACTCATTTGCCCCTTGAGTAGCTTCCCTTTCCTTTCTCTTCTGAGAGTTGGGCGTACCCTATTCTTGTCAACTCTTTCTCTGATTAGTCACTGTTTCTGCCACTCTAATTAGACATCAACTTTCAAACATGGCTGCTTCCTCTACAGACTAACTTTACCTTCATTGTTTGGGATTAAAGGCATGTACCACCACGCCTAGATCTAAGCTTTTCTTTACTTGGAACTTGCTCTACACAAGGCCAGCCTTGAACTCAGATATGCTTGAGTCTGTATCCTGGATTAAAGGTGTGTTTGTATTCCAGTTGGATCACACAGACCTAGAGGGTCTTTGGATGTGATCTATTGCCAAAACAGCCATGCTCTGAATTAAAATTCCTCTACAACGTCCCTGGTTGGGGCAGCCACCAGGGACCACGTGGATGTCCAGGGGCTGTGCAGAACATTCCCTATCCTTCACTGGCTGGAGCACTCTGGAAAGCTGGCCTCAGCTCTCACCAGTGACAGCACTCAGGAGAGCAGGCTTTGAGCCTCACCCAGACATCACAGTGGAGCTGGCCCTGGGGGTGGGGGGGGGAGCTGGCCACAAGAGCATGAGTGTGCAAGAACTGACCCAACCATTTGTCTGCTATGGGGTTGCACGGGCTCAGAGATGATGCCCCCCTTGCTCTTTGCCACCTCTGGCAGTTGGAAAAGCTGCCCATAGAGTCATGAACAAAGTAGAGCTAGTTCTGCCCCTCACCCTGCCTTTGGGAGAGCACTTGGGAGAGCAGGCCCTGCCCCTTGACTGGCCAGCACAGCAAATCTGACCCTGGTGGTGAGGGCACAGATGAGCAAGTTCCCAAAGTGAAAGCAAGAAAGAGCTGGCCCAGCCACTCATCTGCTCTGAGTTGTCAAGGGTGTAGGGGTGATACACTCCCCCCCCATCTTCAGTATTTGGGTCATGAGAATGGGAGGGCTGACCCTACCCCCTTCCCAGTTGCAGCTCTTGGGAGAGTGTGCTCTGAAGCTTACCTGGGCAGCACAGTAGATCTGGTCCTGGTGGAGGGGGCATAGGTGAGCCATCCCCAAGGGCAAAAGCAAGGGAAAGGTGGCCCCTCTACTTATCGGTCATGAGATGGTGTGGGTGCTGGGGTGATAACCCCTCTCCCCACCTGCAGTGGTTGGGAGACCTGCTGCCTCCCTGGCTATAGCACTCAGGTTGCACTTCATGGCCTGGGCAACATGTGAAGATGATCCTGATGGCAAAGGCACAGGTGAGCCAGCCTTGAGAGTGTGAGAACAGGAGAGCTGGCCCAGACCCTCACAGGCTACAGCACTTGGGAGAGGGTACCCTGTACCTTGACTGGGTGGCACAGTGGAGCTTGCTCTGGAGGTGTGGGTGCAGGTGAACCACCCCAAGTGCAGGAGAGCAGGAAAGCTGACCCTGCCTCCTGCCAATGGTGACATTGGGTGGCATAGCTGGATCATGGGTGGAGAGCTGGCCCTGGTGGTGTGGGTAAGAGAGAGCTGGTGCATTGACCAACTCAGCTATCACCCAGGCCCAGATCCAGGGCTTTGTGTTTGCCCACCACAAAATCTCTGTCATCTGTGAATGATTGGGATATGTGAAAGGGCTGGTCCTGCTGATCCAAAGCTGCAGGATCTCCAGGACACAGGGCAGCAACAGGATAACAGGGATGAGGCCCGGTAAGAATCAAATATTGATGGTGTCAAAGAAGCCAGAAACTCCGAATCAGACTAATGACTCATTGCAACGAACATTTGCAAGTGAATATATGTGGTGAGACAGGTGCACTGTGAGACACACTGTGACATACTACAGCTTCCATGATGAGATGTTTTCTATGCTTCGTTTTTTTTGTTTTGTTTTGTTTTGTTTGTTTTTCTGTCTCTCTGTGTGTGTTTATTTTGTGGGGAAGTTTGCAACAGCAAAGGGCAGATATGAGGGGATGGGGAGATAAGAGAACTGAGGTACATGATGTGAAACTCACAAATAATCAGTAGTTTTAAAAAAGAAGTTGAAGATAAACCCCTATTGCTGAAGATTAAACTCATTTAGGACACAGGTCTTAGATTGTTTGAGCAGGATGTCATCTGAAAACCTCCTTCCTGTGGTATAGCTTCTATAGTACAAGAAAGAATTATAAAAGCTGCCGTAGGAGGGAAACTACCAGTAGTCCTACCCAGATACACCCATGAAAGACACCAATGAGCAGCATGGCAAGATATTTCTAAAACTGTAATAGTGAAACACACATGTTGATGGTAACCAACAGCTGTCTCATTATGCTTAAGGTCCATTCAACAGGTCAGAAATCATGACTGGTACTAGAAACCTAGCCAAATACCTGGGGCTAGTTAACTCACAGATCTTAGAAAGGAAATTTCTACCTCTACTTTGCTAGACCAGCATAATAATTCTAAATTATTAACTAACTAAATTATAAGTCTTATTATTATGCTGTTTGGAGGAGGGTCTTATGCACTGTGCTTTCAGATGCTGATTTCAATGCCCTGAGATCTGGTTACTTCCTGCCATGGGCATTGTTATGAATATTGAGCCATCTCCTGAACCCATGTGATGAAAGGAATATTCCCCAATTATCCCTGACTGGCTAATAAACTGAAACCCATGACAGGGCAGAAGAGAGGTAGGTGGAGTTTAGCTGCCTGAGTAGAGAGACCGTGAGGACAGGAGGAGAGGAAGAAGGGACAGAGGTAGACTAAGAAGACATGGCCTGATGAAGCAGATGCAGCCCAGAAAGGATGACTTATTGGCAAGTGACTTGGGTTGTGTAGCTGAGAGATAGCGAAATAGCTTAGAGGGATGAAGTCTGCCCAGCTCCAATGCTTAAAAAATAAATCATAGTTTCTCTGTGTCAATTATTTTGGAAGCTAGCAGGGTTTTAAAAAAAAGCTGTTGTTTTATTAATTAGTATTCTATATTATACCTACAGCTAAAGTAGTTACCATGCCTCATCAAAAAAGTTTATTTTAGCCAGGTAGGGACACAAATGCCTGTAATCCTAGTACTTGGGGAGGCAGAGGCAGGGGAATCTCTGTGAGTTTGAGGCCATCCTCCTCTACAAAATGAGTCCAGGACAGCTAAGACTGCACAGAGAAACCCTATCTTAGAAAAAAAAAAAACACCCAAAGTTTCTCTTTACAGTAAATGAGAAGCATGACAGAAAATAACTCAACACAATGCAAGGGTCAATGGATCTGGGGAGCCCAGACCCAGTAGATATATCTACACCCTGTGGCTCAGGGCACATTGTGGAAGAAGGTATAAAAATCTTGCATATATGTATGAAAAAGAGGCTATAAATTCATGAGTAAGGGGAGTACCTGGAATGAGTTGGAGGGTAGGAACATAGGAGGTACTGAAGGGAAGAAAGGGGGGAAGTGATGTCATTATATTTAAATTAAAAATGTGTTAAAAAATAGAATGACTTAGAGAAGAGTACAAAATTCCCAGTACATGAAAATGATAAGTGTTTTTAAAGGCTTACCAATTTTGTTTGACTATCAGAGCTTATGTGCATGTATTATAATACTGTAATATACTCCATATGATATACAACTATTGTCTCAATACACAAAGAAAAAGACATGAAAAAGAACTACATAGACAAAGGGTTTGTACAGATGAAAATCAGAAAAAATTATATTGTGTATTATGAACAACAATCCTTTGTAATGATTACCATGGAGAGTGGCATTCAATAGTCTGAGACTAAATAAACAGTTCTTGTGCCAGAATCCTTACAGGAAGCACTTTTTGTAAAAGATTGCAGTGATTCAGACTGTGCAGACTCTGTAATATCTATCATCAAGCGATCATGTGTAAAAACCCTTATTTTACAGTAATTCAATCTTATTTACTTTGTGTCATGGTTGACAAAAGTCACTTCATTTTTATTCTTATTGCTTTGACATTTCTTCTATATGCCTCCCTTATATTTTCTAAAAATCATTGCTGAATAGCCACCCAATAGTTATGTGTTTATGGTCCCTTGTTACTGGAATAAACAATACCAGGAGCTGGAGGGCAAGTATTTGGTGATTAGGAGTGGATGGCATAACCCCTTCAGCTACTTTTGAACAACAAAGTA